GTTTGGTATAACTTTAATACTTAATTAACTTATAATAACAGACAGAACATGAAAATACACTCTCCATTTGTTATTTACAAGTATTTCTCATGTTTATGTGTTAAATATTTTGGTATTTGTTTTTCCCAGCCACCCTCTGGTTTACACAACAGCATCATATCTGGAGCTAATCTAAGGACTAAAAGTAATGTGTGGTTCGGAGAACCGAGCATGTCAAAAACATTCTACGATACCACAACAGATGACAACTTCCATCCAGTCACCGTGCCCTACACCTATAACCGAGCCAAGTTCTACAAGGATAGCGACATCCCCTTGAACTACTATGAAAGTGAGTAGACATATCCTTCAGTCTGGCCTCTTCTGAATATACCATATTACACTTACAGAATGTTCTCATGTCCTTAAAGTTGGTTTGGGTTTACAGTATTATCCATCCTATTACAAACTGGTATCTCAACTAACACGTGCAGTTACTATCATTTGTTTCTCACTTTGAGTTGATTAAATACAAGTACACAATGTTACTGTACTTTAATTCAGGTTTCAATGGTCTCAACAAATATTATTTCATAATGTTTTCATTCTAATGAACAGAGTATTTTCTTCCTATGAATTTCCTTTTCTGTTGCATTAGCCTTATCTGGAGTAATTGTCATTCTGGACATTCTCATTTTATTGATGACTGCTATGTCCCTTTATCAACCTCTGCAAAAAGCAAAGAATTGTCGGTTATCATATTTTAAATTTTCTGTAGAGAGTGAAGCTAAGCACACATCCTCATGGACAGATTACAAGAACCCACACCGAGGGAAGACTGTACCCAACCCAGTGGCTATCAATAATGTAAGTAGAGCTAGAATTTTACCTAAATATCAATCTGTCTTCTCTGAGCAATGATGTAAATATTACTGACATAGAGCCAATCAGCATGGACCAGTAGTTTTAAAACAAGGCTGTTTAAGAATTATAGTGTTTTCCAAGAAAAGTTTCCATTAATTGCTAACATGAATTGTATTTCACATGTTTTCATTTCCAGTTGAGAAAGTCCAACATTTTGCCCCCACTCAGTGGCCCCCAGAAACACAGCACTACCCACCAAGTGACCTTCACCCCTAAGGAATCAGAAGTCTACAGCTATGACGCGGGGAGGCTACAGAAGAGTTCTGTCCCCTTGGGGACTATGAGTGCATAATTCTGTGTCTATTCAAAGTTTACATATGATGTAATTATAACTAGAAGTTTGATTTGGTGTAATGTTGTTGCAGTCTGTTTCTGTTCCATCTAGATAGAAAGGGAAAAAACAAAGGTAAAATGATTAATTTGATTAAGATGCTGAATTTGTAAATGAACAATTCACAGTGACCTTAAAGTTGGGCCATGCATCATAAGTGAAACCAATATGAGGTTTCTACCAACTAGCTTCAAGATTTTCTATTTTTCTGATTTTCTATTTTTTTCTTTGTGAAATAAAAACAGAAAATCTATTGAACTTTTCTGTCTGAAAGACAAATCAGATTTAATCCTAGAGAAGGCTATGCAAAAGATGAGGAGGAAATACCTACCGTAGTGCTAAAAATGGAAGGCAAGCGAATCAATTATGTCTATTTTTCTAAAAATAAATTAGTTTATTGCTAATGTCATGTGATATACCTGTAAGAGCTATATATATATTGTTGTTGGGTTGATGTACATTGATTCCTACAAGTGAGTGAATAACGAGGTTAAACTGTACAAACAATGTGTAGAAACTGTCTAAATCTCCATTCCAGTCAATGCATTCATATGATGTCTTTAACATCGGTATTGATGATATTGTAAATCATGTTATTTTACATACAAGTGAACAAATATTTTGTAAACCAGATTTTATTAAAACAACGAAATGATTTATATATACGTGTTATGAAAATACTTGAGTATCAGTTTGCAGTATTTACGGAATCTGAAGTATTGAACTGTTACATATCAGTGTGTGTCTACTATTTTATAAGACATTTTAGAAAGCATTGATTTTTATTTTGAGTTAGTTTTAATGTTACAAGGAGAAATTTGATTTTGAAAGTTTTTACAAAGCAAAAAATAAATGACAATTGATTTCTATCCTATGTCAGAATTTATTTTACAAAGAGAAATGTGATTTTGAAAAACAAAACAAAACACAGATTAACAATGAAGAAGTATTCTGTGTATATATGAACCTCTGTTGTGTTTTCTGCTGTTATATCTGATCATTATAGTAACAGGTTTTACCAGAACGTATACACATGTATATATGTATTTAAATATGATGATATCAAATATATATTTATAAGAAATGTAAGCAACTTTTAAATATTTCAGGTTTGAATGGATTCTAAAGAACAATCTACATATTATATATATATAAATGAACAAAGATGATACAATTAGTGAAGCAGAACATGAGTAGATATATACTTTTTTATATATAATTTATTAAGCATTATACAGTATTATTTATTTTGCAAATTTACATACAGATATAAGTGTCAAATACTCAATTTTAAGCCATCATAATGGATTCTAAAATAGTTTTTTGTAGATTTATAGATAAAACTGAAGAATTACTCAGTATTTTGTATTTAAATGATATATTAGTAAAATGTTTAGATTTATGAATTTTGTGAATACATATATACAACAGAATTCAATTTAAACAGTCTTAAACATACTGCTGTATTATATACTATATAAATATACTGCTTTACAAACTATATACTGTAAACACATACTACTGTAAACATACTGTGTTTAGCCTTTACAAACTATATGCTGTAAACATACTGCTTTACAAACTATATACTGTAAACATACTGCATTACAAACTATATACTGTAAACATGCTGCTGTATTATATACTATAATAAACATACTGATTTACAAACTATATACTGTAAACATAAGATAGCCTTTACAAAATATATACTGTAAACATACTGATTTACAAACTGTATACTGTAAACATACTGCATTACAAACTAGATACTGTAAACATGCTGCTGTAGTATATACTATATAAACATACTGCTGTATTAAATACTATATAAACATACTGCTTTTTGCAAAACTTTGTACTGTAAACATACTGCTATAAGTAGACAATATAGTTTTTATACTGCAAACATATAAGTATTGGAATATTACAGTGTTACTTTTGAAATGGTGCATAATGTCAAAAGGTGAATAAGCAAATGCATAACATGATAGATATATTTATTTTTATTTTGTCAGCATAATAATGTAGAATATAGGGAGTTGATCAAAGAACTTGATAATCAGAATTTCAAAGCGTCTGTGAATTTATCATAGGCTCTGTGATCTAATGAAATATTTTGTGATGTTTGGTGTTGTTTCTGTCTAGTCCACTA